GGAATCAGTCATCCGAGACGGTGTTTATGCCCCCCAGTTAGCTCCGCTTCTTCAAACAATATATAAGCAGGATCAGAGTAGTATGCGATCCACTCTTAGTTGAGCTCTGAGGAAGCCAACAGAACCATTGGCGAAATGTCAGTAAGTTCGACTCAACAACAACAAGATTTGTAAATAGTATTACAGTAGCCTGTGGAAGTTTCTTTTAGAAAAAAAATAACCGAAACTGGTTCAGTGTTCTTTTGTAAGATCCGTAAAATTGTATTACTCTTCCAACTGAAATACAAAAGGTTGGAATGGTAACCATCTAATATTGGAACAAATAATTCCCGAGAGGCGCAATAAATCATGGGCGTGTGGAATTATAATGTCGTCTTCTTCTTCCTTCATTTTAGGCTAATCCCCTGTTTATTCTTGGTACTTTTGTCTTTTACTGTCTTACTGTTACTGTTGTTGTTCCATTCTTCTTAATGTTTGTTCCATTCCTTTTTTCTACTTATATTTATTTTATACCTCGCACATGTTCCTTATGGTATCACCATTATCGTGCATGCTTTATTTTAAGAAATGTAAAAAATAATGTCACTTTCTCTTTGCCACTTTTTGGAAGCTCGAAAACAGCGTTGCAGGATTTTAAGTAGAACGTTTCGTCTCAGCGAAATCATCATCAATTTTATTTTTTCATTTGGTCACTGAAGAAGCTACACCATGTATTAAATCGCATTTTTTATTACAAATACAGCGTTATGAAACACAATATGTTTCTAAATTATTTAAATCGCAAAAAAAGTCTTTTTATTACATTTTCAATATGTTTGGGTAGTATGCGCTGACATGATAAATAAAAAAAATAAAGAGGAAATTATAACTATATCGGTAAGCCAGTTGAAATTGTTCATTCATTAAACTTACATAGAAAAAGAATAACGGTTATTCAAACGAGCAAACAAGCATTATTTTCCAAAAACAGAGAGCACCTTGTAACTGTTGAATTTAAAACATTTCTTAACATATCACTTTTCATGTTCTGAAAGCTTCTAGATGTGGTATTCTTAGACTTAAAAATTCGCGTAGTAAATATTATTTGTCCAATTACTCCATACAAAAAATCAAGTGCAGTGGGGTTATGATGAAAATGTTCATCTTTTTAGAGACTTCTTCATTGCAGGGTTTATTTCTGGATAAAAGTTAACAAACACGTCATACTGCTTAAGAGCTGGAGTAACTCTTCCAAAATGTTATAAGAATAACCCCACGGTTAGGCAATTTTGGGCATACACATTTTCATTTTTATTGTGATATTATAGTGAGAAAGTAATATATTTCGTTTATTCTCTGTTTTAGAAAAAAAAAGTTAAACACAACGTTATAGATAAGACTAAAAGAAACAATTTAAAATTATTTTCAAATATACTGGATGATTAAAAAATATGGGTAAACCAACATTATGATTTTTAAAGGAAATATCCTGTATATTATTGCATTAGTAGATATTCCTTTTTATACTCAATCACGCAATGTTGGGTTGTTATGGCCTATACAGAGTGTTTTCGGATTACATATATAGTGTTTGCGACAGCTATAACTTTATTATGCTAACCATTTTAAAAAGTGGTACAGCATTTATTCTATATTTGTCTTGGAATTAGTTCGAATCGAATGAAACTATTAATGCTCTGTCAATTTTAATGGACGTTCCATATACCTAAACTTAATATTTTTTGAGATATACACACTGTTACCAACAAAACTATAAAAATATATCAAACTATGAAAAAATATGGCAATAAGCCAAAAAAAAATAAAAATAAATAGATAAGTTATTAATTTTGTGCCAAAAATGTTTCCTTTCTTTCCATTAATTTATAAATTCTGTGTTATTTAAGGACCAAAATATTATTAAAATATATAATGATGTTTTCAGGTCGCGTCTTTTTCTGGAAATGTAAATTGGCCATGCAAGTGCTTACTGTTATTATTATTATTATTATTATTATTACCATCATACTGTACAATTGTTTAAATATCATGTTAAAGCGTGTATCAAAGTCGGTGGAAGATAGTTAGATGAATAAAAAAATTGAAACTTAATTGAACGGTGCATTTTTTGTTTTGCAGTTAGTTAATTCATCTGAGTAGACTTTTCACGTTTAAGTAATATTTATTTTATTCTCAAACTTTTGTGATATTTTAACACGGTTTGAAAATTTTCTAAATTTTGTTCGCAAAAATATGCACACTGCAAAAAAAACTAAGCTTAGGTAGAGCGAATGCTTAGTAAAAGAGCATCACTACGGGTATTTATCAAATATTCTATTAATCATATATTAAAATCATAACATATATTTAAAAAATGTTAAATTTGATTTCCTACATATTTATGAAACACCCTGTATATTTTGAATTAATAGTTACTCTCTTTCATACTTATTTACCCAGTGTAGGGTTATTATGGTCTATATCGAGTGTTTTCTATGGCCATTTTCTCGTCAAAAATGCCCTATATTTAATGCTCTATATGTTTAACGCCGTTTCCGACAGTCATTTATCTTGTACATGATTGTGGGATGTACATGAACTTAGTCTGAATCCTTTATACAGGGCGAATAAAATTGAAAGAAAAAATCACAGAGAACACCATATTAAACTTGCCTTCGTTATTCGTATTAATGTTCTTTCAGTTTTATTAAGCATTCCATTTACCCAAACTTAGCATTTCTAGGAACAAAATTCCGAAAATTTATCAAATTATAAGAAAACATCGAAGTAAGCCAAGAAAAATAAAAATAAATACGTAAATTTTAAATTTTGTGAAAAAAATGTTTCCTTTCTTTCCATTTCTTTAGAAATTTTGTCTTTCTTAAGGCCTATAATATTATTGAACTATAAAATAATGTTTTTAGATCCCGACTTTTAGTCGAAATGTAAATTGACCGTGCAAAGGCTTATTATCATTATTAATTAATCTTATTATTATTACTATTAATATTATTATAATTTTCCTATCATCTTTATGAAGGGGGGGGGGTCGTTTCAAAGGCTAACCGGACCAAAGTTAAGGTTGCCCTTCGTGCTACACGTAACGACGGACAAGACGACAGGTTCCTAGTATCACGGCCTTTTGCAAGAGTCCGACCAGATCCCGACTGAGGCCGCGCTTTTCAAGGTTTTTCGCTAGTCGTTTTTCAACAACGCCAGTCGCCGAGATAATTATAATATATATTATTATTATTGTTATTATTATTAATGTTATTATTATTATTATTGCTTTTTAACGCCTGGTTACAGGTTATCAGGACTTTGTCAGTTACGGGGCCAGCAGGACTACGTCCTCAAGCGTTCCCCTGCAAGACCGATCGGGCAATATTCGCTGCATCCAAGAATTCCGACTTCTGCATCATACGGTAAGTATTGTAATTTAGACCCAGTCTAATTAAGTTTGTTTTCAGGTCCGTCGGTACAACACCCATGCTGGAGATGATCAATGGGATGACCTCCACTCTCTCCATGTGCCACAGTTCTTTAATTTTCCATTTGAGACCGACATATTTTTGGATCTTCTCAGCCTTCTTAGAGTCGATGTTGTGTAAGTTGGGGATAGATATATTAACTAAATATGCGGTATTTGTCTCCTTATCAGTAACTATTAAGTCTGGTCGATTATGCTTGATTTCCTTGTCTGTGATTATGGCTTTGTCCCAGTAGATCTTCGCTTTGTTATTCTCGATGACTGGTGGTGGTTGGAGGCAGAAATATTTAGGTATACGATGTTTGCAACCTTGTCGTGCGTCTCTATATATTTTGTGTTGGCTAGTTTGGTGCATCCCGAAACGATGTGTTCAATCGAGTGTTCTTGGCACTTTCTGCAGTTGTCAGATGCAATGTTTTCTTCCATGATGTACTTTCGATAGTTCTTAGTCCTGATAACCAGGTCTTGCATCGCTAGGACACATCCTGCTGTTTTAGGCATTAAATAGTTTTTCTTCAGCCATTCATCAATCAAGGGAAGCATCTTTGTCGACGTTGTTTCGGTTTATGTCTCGTTTGTATCGGCCGTGCAGTTCTTTGCTGGCCCACGTTTGATTTTCTTAAAATTTTTTATTAATATTATTATTATCAAATCCAATCGTTTAAAAACCATGTTAGAGAGCGTGCATATAAGTCAGTGGAAGTAATTTCCACCAATAAATAAAGTGAAACGTAATTAAAGGGTTCTTTTTTGTTTTGCAATTTTGTTTTTAAGTGTTTCTCCCGGAACTACTAGCAATATTAATATCGCATTTTTAGTATTATCAACAGCTTAAAATATTAATTATTAAATTGTATTTATTATAATTGTAATTATATTTATGCTATTATCTGAAAGAATTATACTTAATTCGTCTCTGTAGACTTTTCGCGTTCACGTAATAGCTACGTATTTTGTTCGTAAAAATGCATATACCTCAAAAAACACAAAAGGAAATGTCATAATAAATATACTGTTTTAAACACAGGGCATTTTTGAATAGGAAATGGCCATAAATCCGAAAATACTCATTTTAGACCGTAACAACCTTGGGTGATTGAGTATAAAAGGGACTATCTATGAATTGCCATATCATGTAAGTATTTGAAAATAATTTTAAATTGTTTGTTTTAGTCTCATCTGTAAGTTTTGTACTTAACACTTTATGTAGACACCGTGTATAAACTGATATGTAAAACTTAACTATATTAAATAAATAATAAAAGAATCAAGAACAATTCAAAGAAAAAAACGTGTGATGGTGACGTTGGTTTCATTTCTTCCGCTATTTGTTATGCGGTCGACCCAGGGCTTTTTATAATTTTCCTCTGCCGCGTACGCGATCATCGATATCTTTCGTAAAAAGCTGCCCCTCCCCCCACCTTTCTGGGGCCCGTACGAAAAGGAAAGTTTCACTTAAATAATATGCGCATTCGTATGATGATAGTAAATAATACAGAGAGGCTAGCCGAGGGCCGCGCAAGCTTTGTGAGCGTTTCGCGGCTCCCGAACCTCAGTCGGAATCAGCTTGCCAACAAAATAGCGTCTTCGGTTCAAGACCCCGTCCGTCGTTCAGTCGACGCCGCGCCGACGCCAAAACGAAAATCGGTTTTCGCGTCTCGATTCGCCCCGCTCTGCGTGCAACAGTTCTTGTTTACACACGTGGCCTAAACGATAATGCCAAAGTAAACCCCAAGCGGAGACAGCATGATGCTCTTGTTCGTGTCGTGCGTAGTTTGTTCCATTTCTCTGTCCGCGAGTGGGTATTCCTGGCCCGGCGCGGAGACCACCACCAAGTCGCCATCTCGGGACATCCACAGCGATCCTTTGGTGGTCGAAACCACTAGCGGGCTAGTGCGAGGTTTCGCCAAGACGGTGCTCGGAAGGGAGGTCCACGTATTCACGGGAATACCATTCGCGAAGCCGCCGATCGAGCAGTTGCGTTTCCGTAGGCCCGTCGCCATCGATCCCTGGCACGGAGTCCTGGACGCCACCAAAATGCCCAACTCGTGTTTCCAGGAACGGTACGAGTACTTTCCAGGCTTCGAGGGCGAAGAGATGTGGAACCCGAACACCAACATCTCGGAGGACTGCTTGTATTTGAACATTTGGGTGCCCCAAAGGCTGCGCATCCGCCACCATTCGGATAAACCTCCGATGGAACGTCCCAAAGTGCCGGTGCTGATTTGGATATACGGGGGCGGCTACATGAGCGGCACCGCCACGCTAGACATATACGATGCGGATATTATAGCGGCAACCAGCGACGTTATAGTCGCCTCCATGCAATACCGAGTCGGTTCCTTCGGTTTCCTTTACCTGAACAAGTTTTTTTCGCGAGGAAGCGAGGAGGCGCCCGGCAATATGGGTCTGTGGGACCAAGCGCTCGCCATAAGGTGGATCAAAGAAAACGCCGCGGCTTTCGGCGGCGATCCCGACTTGATAACTCTGTTCGGTGAATCCGCTGGCGGAGGATCCGTCAGCATCCATCTGCTAAGTCCCGTCACTAAAGGTCTCGCCAAACGTGGTATCCTCCAATCGGGTACCATGAACACCCCCTGGAGTTACATGTCGGGAGAGAGGGCGGAACAAATCGGTCGCATTTTGGTACAGGATTGCGGATGCAACGTTTCGCTACTCGACACCAACCCCCATCAAGTGATGGACTGCATGAGGGCCGTCGATGCCAAGACCATTTCGCTGCAACAATGGAATTCGTATTCGGGAATATTGGGATTTCCTTCCACTCCGACGGTGGACGGGATTTTTTTGCCCAAGCATCCCATGGACATGCTCGCCGAAGGAGATTATGAAGATATGGAGATATTGCTCGGGAGTAATCACGACGAAGGTAAGTTGGAAACTTCATTCATATTTCATCCGTCATAGTACTAATACTCACAAGATGCCAACAAAACCTTATTACAAGTGGGACGTGTATGAGTAACTTACAGATCTGTGAAATGTTATTCTCCAAACTACAAGGAGCGAATAATTTCCGCACTGAAAGCGATGACGTCATCCGACACCTTTCTAATATTTAGACCACATGAACCAACTACTGAAATAGAGTGGGCTCTTATTCTACTCTGTTTACCGCGTCATTTACAACAATCTGTACATCGATCTAGGTTATCGCATTGATTTCCACAGTTTCAAGGAATTTGCGGCAAAAATTTTGAATGTGATTTCCGCATTTCGAGATTTCCTACTGATTTTTGATGGATATGGGAATTTCCAATGGATATGTGATACGGGATAAAAGTATTTACCCAATCCTAACTACGACGATGCATTGTGACCACAGCAATTTATAATTTAACGAAAGCATGGCAAAAAGGTCTCTAAACTTCTACTATTAAACTTCCATTGTATTTATTTGACTTAATTATACAATGTTCCGGACAGACAAATCACTGTCCGTTATATGTAAACCGTAAGTGTTTAAAAATGTATATTTGACAACAGACAGTGATCTGTTTCTGCGAAGAGTTGTGTAATTAGGCCAAATAAAGACAATAAAAGTTTGATTTTATTTCAACAGTGCATTGCATTGTCTGCCACGATCACGGAAACATGGGAAACAGAATTTAAAAATTAAATTTAAAAAAATTGAAAACAATTAAATCAAAATTAGGAGCCTCAGGTAAAATAGAGAATTAATTTTCCATGTTTAGGTGTACTTAAGTTATTAATTATTATTAGTTATGCTACATATGATTACAAAAAAAACTATTACGAAAATCAAACCAATCAATCATGAATCCAACTTTAAAACTATAAAAACAAAATTGATCTTTTAGGTTGTGTGGCAATAATATTTTAAAAGATTACTTACTGTGTGTTCTTCTAAGCAGATAGATTTTTTATTGGTTTGCTTAGATACTATTTGGAAATTATCAAACATTTATTATCCGCATGAGCAGTATATATAAGCAAAATTTGATTTTAAAATTATAAGCTGCTGTTAATTATGAATTGGCTCATTAGCAAATACTTTCATTCAAATAAAATTCGGAACATACTACTAATAATACTATTACTACTACTACTAATAATAATACTACTACTATAGTCTATTAGGTGTTACATTTAGCGTTATTACCGTATTTTCGTCAAATCCAACCACTATACGACGTCAACCAGAATAAAATTTTGATTTTAAGTTATCTTTAACAAATAGATTACAAGCTTTGCTTTAGAAGTAAAACGACTCCATTTTTAAGTTGGCCTTGTGATCCATTTTCATCGCATTAATTGGTGTCATTTTGCTTACTTCTGTTAAGTATGCCACAAAAATTACTACAGAGATATTTAAAACATTTTAAAACATTCTTATGTCAAAAAGCCCATTGGTCGTCAAATATTTAGGTCCATTTGTACAGTGTTACTTGTGTTACGAACTGACGTTATTAAAATCCCTCCAACTCAATAAGTGCCAATTTGAATATTTCCGCTTATCGATTACTTTATGTACAATAAATATTGGTTATATAAGCGTTACAAAGGTAAATAAAACAATGGTTTATTAAATATTAAGTTATTAGAATAAATTTGAACATATTTCAATAGGGTTCGAACGAGGCCCAGGTACAATGGGACAAAATAAAATACCTATAAAACTAATGAAAAGAAATTTCTTTGTTCTTTTTAGGCAACTAAATGTTGGAAGGGAGTTTTTATTTCTGCAATGTAAGGACATCTCCTCCGTAATTTTTCAAAGGTTCTTCCATTTACAGATCTTTTGAACTGAACTTGGTGACGTTTCGCCATCAAACAAACTACGCTGGAGGAATCCAGAAGTTTTGTAAATAGTATTTCCCTTAAATTTTTGTTTAATGCTTCATTAGATTTACTTCAGTAGGATTTACGCTTTTCAAAAGAAAGATTCGCTATTTATTATTGCGCAATATTTGATTCAGTTTATTGACACTCCTTGAAATACCAAAAAACGTATTGTGTTTGCTGGAAAAATTAAGTATTGATTACTTTCAATCGTTATTTCGTTTTGCAGTATTTATTGATACTTGGAACCTTTCAGGGTTCCGTGGAACCTAAGTCTGAAAGTGACATACAGTCTCAAATTTAGCACTACGTGTTAGGCAGACCCTTGTCATCGTTTGCAATATTTTTTTCTGCAAATAGCTGCTATAAGTAAACAGTTTACTGATAAATATATATTGAATGATTAAAATATGGAACAAATTCATTTAAAAATCAGACATTCTATTTCAAGAAAAATGTTCGCACACGTTCGTCATAATGTTGTCCACTGCTTTTTTTTACAGTCAACTTTTTTCCTTTTCTTAAATCATTTTTTAAATTTATTTTCGAATTCTGTGTCAAATTTTACGCATATTCCATGTAGCATACCCTATATTCTAATTTTCATGAGCAAAAGCAAAAAAACTAGTACCAGTAAATTCTTAAATTATCACACTTAGAGAAGAAATTGAATATTACGCTTCTAAATGAAACCCACAGAATTCAAATTTAAATTTTTATTGGCTATTGAGACAAAAGGGAAACTCAAGCAGAAGTTTATTATTTGCTTATATTAAAAAAGAAAAATATCATCCGTATAAGCTTACATTGTCACAGATCTGGACGATAATGATCCTGACTGCAGATTAGTTTTGGGAATCCATGATAGAAATGTAGAACTTAAATTAATTTTTCCATAGTCAGATACCGTTTAGCGTTAAAGCCAAGATTTGTTGAAATGGTATGACAAATAAACGAAGCTATAGGTATAAGAGTACAAATATGTGATATAACATTCGCAGAAAATAAATGTCTGGGCGGAGATTTTGAATAACAAAATAATTAGACTTTATTTCTTTGGTAAAAATCTTACTGGAGTCCTATATTTATAATTTTTTCAATATGACTTTGGTCCTACTCTCGTAGCTTCCTTATCATGTTCAGCCTGATTTGCCGGATAGAGATTTTTGGTTTTGACGGGATGTTAATTTTTAATATTTAAATCAATTTATTGCTACGATAGTGTGAATAAGTATTATGATTTGCTTTGCTTGCCGTACTTTCTGTATAGGTAGTTGATCTTTCTGAATAATACTTGATACTCGTATTACATTACAATAGTTAAGGATGATAAGATTCTATAATCTGGAAAAGGGAGTTTTTGCTTTGTAGTAATGATGCGCCCATGAAGAGAGATGAATTTTGGAGGTGCGTATGCCTTTCATATGTTGCAATTATTTTCTAGAATTTTTTTCAATATTACTTTTAGTTTTCCCGTAGAACGTAACAGTATGATTTTCGATTTCGGCGTTTGCTGTTGTTGTGACAGTTGCAACTTTAAAAATCTCATCGGTTATATCTGTCAAATGCATTTTTATGACAATGAAATGCGGAATAAGAAGAACAATATAGAAAGAGCTAGATTGTCATGTTGTTATTTCTACCTACAAACGAACAACCAAAGACGTAGAAGGGAGCCAATTCCTGTAGGGCTCCTCCAACTACCTAGTGGAGGAGTGAATCGCCTCTGACTAATCGAAGACGATCATATTTTATTGACGAATATAGGCTGACTCGATTATTGGTTGACCTAGTTACGTGTCTTGGCAATCCAGGAGGGTGCGTGTTAAATATAATTATTCAAGATTAATCTATACCTCTGTTTGAAATATTATTTAATCTAGCCAGCTTATGGAGTAGCCCGGTAACGAAATTCCATATTTTTAATGGCTGATGATTAATATTAGTCATCACGTTCTATTCGCCAAATTATATTTCTATTTTTAAATCCATATATGTGAATTATTATATTATTCGCTTATTATTAACACTTATCATTATTATTTTTTAGTATATTTATCGACTCAAAGGGCCTTGTAGACCTGGGGCTGAATTTTGTTGTGTTCTCCTATTTCAAATACTCCTTCGACTACTCTTCTCTACTTTTTTCTATTTTCTGCTTTTCCATTCTAGTTTATAACACATTATGGTTATTCAGTCTTTCAAATATTGATTTTATTGATCCCTGCTTTAATCTATCTTTTCTTGTTTCCCTATCGGAGTACTGTATGTAACAATTTTGATAATTCTTCCCTTCTCTACCTCTCGTCACCACAATAAATTTGTCCTTTCCATCGTTCCACCTGCTGCTTCTCCATTTGATTGGGTATCCATTTGTTGTGGGTTTGATTACTGTAATATAAAATCTTTCTGGAGACGATTTTTTCATTTCATTAGCTTGCATTTCATGCTTTTCGCAGGTTTTTTACATCCACTGTTACTACTAAATAAATTGTTTTACCCTTTTAAACGCGTATTGTTCGCCGCTACTTTCTACCGTTGTTAACCGTTTTGCTTTTTTCTGTGCTTGCCTGTTAATAATAATAACAATAAAAAAAGTAAGCAACACATATAATGAAATGACACACATAAGATACTTGTTTTATAATGGTATAAGTCTCACTCCAAATACTCTGTCACTGCGTATGGTTGTAGTTCAATAATTAGTCTCTCAAAGACATTTTTCCAAACACTTGCAGTACTAATACAGTTGAGCTTTTTAGGCAGATTATTATATAATTTAATTTAATTTATACGCAGGCATTGTTATTGTTACAGGCTAGATTTACCCCAAATAGAAAAGTTCTTTTAGTTAAATACCTAAGTTAAACACACAATATTTATCAATATAATTTTAACAGATACCAAATAATAGTCATGCACACAGATATGAAAGCGATAGCAATTAGTTTCAGCTCCTCTGTATTCCAGCTGACGTCTCGTCCTTACTTCCCGCCCTCCTAAGCACAAATGGTGCATGTTTATAAAATCAGTTTCAAGAATATTTATCTGTTACTAAACTATTTT